CTAAGCGCATGTTTGGGGGATTGGAGAGCTATATTCACTCTGGGGATTGCTATAATCACTGTACTCCCTTGGATCACAATGGCCTGCTTCGCTCTCTGGACTAGGAGAAGTCTACCAACTGGAAGCTGGATCTTGTTCTTGGGTATCCAGGGTGGGTGGAGGAAAGCGACACTAACCAAGCTGCGGCGGTTTGTGGGGTTTACTGTGGTTATGGTGTCCGGTGCGGTGCTTATGGTACTCAAGGATTACTAGGAACCAGTGATTGACGGAGTTACCCAGTCGGGATGCCAGGCAGTCTGTCACAGAGTAAATGAGAGAAATGGAGGGTGGAGAATGAGGCAAATGGAGGGGCTGGTGGGGAGAGGTAATGAGACAAATGGAGGGGCTAGGGTTAATTAGACATGTGGGTGCGGGTGGGCAGGGAATGAGACACATGAAGGGGTGGGGGGGCAGGAATGAGACACATGGAGGAGCTGGCGGGAATGAGACACGTGAAAGGGCTGGGGGGAGGGAATGAGACACATAGGGGGAAATGAAACAAATGAAGGGGACCGGAGCAATTTTCGCACCAGGGCGTGTTGGTTCTAATTACACCTCTGCCCATAATAAAGTAATTGAATATCAATTTACCTTAAGACAATTCCACCCTACAAGAGCAATGAAAAGGGGTAAAATAAAATATTTTAGTACATTAGATATTTAGAGCCAACTAATTTATACTAGCCTTAGTAAAATGCACCCATGGAAATGGTGGCACCACATGTAATATTTTTTTAATTTTTAATTTTATATAATTTTTATATAATTTTTTAAAGTTAACATTATGGATGGCACCTACATTCTTAGCTAGTTTGATAGGGATTTTTTTTAATTTCTTTAGCATGCTGGATTGGGTAGCACCTGGCATAACATTTGGGGACATGAAATCTAGTGTTGGCTGAATGCTGCTCTGGGTGGCATTCAAGGGAGGGGTGCCCACTCCAGAGTGCAATCAGGGAAGGACTTTCAACCCCAGAATATCATCAGGAGAGGGACATTCACCAGATTGCACCAAGGGAGGTGAGTGAGTGTTCTCAGAGTGGTACTAAGAAAGGTGATGGAGTGCCCACAGAATATAGACAACATTCTTGAGGCACCCACTCAGTTTCCTTGATAGCACTCTGGGCTCATCTCCCTTGAAGGCACTCAGGGAAAACACTCCTCTCCTGATGTCAATCTGGGATTACACTCCTTTTCTGACACCACTCTGGTGGATTTCCCTCTCCTGATGCAACTCTTGTGTGGCATTAAGCAAGTGGGGCCCACCTCACAATGCCATCAAGGAATCAGTGCCCACCCCACAGTGCCATCAAGAGGGTGCCCACACCAGAGTGCCATTATCATAGAGTTCCGACATGAAACAAATGAGGTTTGCCATCAGAATAGGGTTGCCAACCCCAGGATGCCTCCAGAACAGGGATGCTTATTACCCCATGGTGTCATCAGGAGATGAGTGCCCACAGTTTGGCACCAGTGAAGGCACTTTGTGGGCACCCTTCAGCACTCTGGGCTCATGTCCATTGAAGGTAATGGTGTGGGCATTGCTCCCCTTAACTCACTCTGGGGTGATTAACTCCCTCCTGATGTCACTCTGGGTGGAATCAAAGAAGTGGTGCCCACCCTAGAATGATACCAGGGGTGGTGTGGCCACCCCAGAGTGTCATCAGGGGAGGTTTGTGCAAAGGAGCCCATTAAGATATCAGGAAAGGCAGAGCAACTGATTTTTACTGTCACTGCTCTGGGTATTTGGCATCTGCTAATGCCTGGAGGATCACTCCAGAAACTACTAGACACAATGTACTGCTCCCTGCATAATCCCTCCAATCCCATGGAGGGGGAGGGGGAAGGGGAGGGAGAAGGCTCCAGTGATGGCAGTGATACACACGTATGAAAGGGGGAATTTGCACAGCTGAAAATAAAATACACCCCCTACCTAAAAATGAAAAAAAAGGGAAATTCAAGTGTTAGCAACCACTAAGCCAGGCTCGCACTACTGTCAGTCACATTCTGCAAGTGAATGCTTTTTTTCCTCAATATTACATCTCTGCAATTCATTTCCAGCTCTGTATCCCAGCCCTTTAGTGGTGTAATAAATCAAAGCTCCCGAATAGAGGCAATCACGCATATCTATATTCCAATAAATGCCTTCATAAAGGGGATTAGGCAGTGGCGGAACTGGAACAGCCACCGGGGCAGTCAGTGTGGCTACATCACGCTGCAAGCTTAAAGTCCCCATCGGGTAACCCATGCACTTAGAGCCACCTGATGAACATCTCTGATCAGGGGCCGGTCAGGGGACATGGCTATTTAATAGTGTGCCCGTGCCGCATGGTCTGTATAAAGCTGTGGTGCTGGGAGGAATCGAGTACAAGTCACTTTCTCCCAGTTTACCAACGAGCTGCACAGGAGAGAGGAGAGGACCAGAGAGGAGGGAGAGCTTGGACCAGGCTCCAATCACGCTCAGCCAGATGCCACTAGACCCCAGGGAAGCCATCCTTCTGCACCAAAAAGGTATAGAAGCAGGGGGGTGGCTAAAATTGTTTAATGACCTTTGTATATGTGTCTATATGTTATCTGTGTGTGCATGTGTTATATGTGTGTACGTGTTATCTGTGTGTTTATATGTGTGTGTTATCTGTGTGTATGCATTTGTGTGTATCTGACAATGTGTGCATATGTGTTATCTGTGTGTGCATGTGTCAATATGTATTTATGTGTGCATGAGTCAGTGTGTATGTATGTATCAGTGTGTGTATCTGTGTGTGTTTCTGTGTGCATACTTCCCAGCAACCAAACATCAACTCTACATACAAACACTAAACACAAGTACATCACTGCTTTCAAAGATCAACAGTACATACAAACATACAACTGCATTCAAATACCACTACTACACATAAATAAATTTTTAAACACAAAAACTGCTCTGCAAGGATAGGCACACAACAGCGTCACAGCTGTAAAGGCATTGTGGGAGTTGCACAACGGATAGGGATTTACCTTTTGGCCATGCTTGTGCTAAAGGGGCCCAACAGTAAAAAAAATATTGCACCAGGGCCCTCTCTACAAAGTTTCATCACTGAGATTAGGTATGTATAAAACCTGCTGAAACAGGACAAATCTAACAGCTGCCCTATAATTTTGACATGCCCAGTGTTGCTTTCAAAATATTCTACAGACAGCATAGGCGTGCACACGGGGTGTGCTGGGTATGCCTGGGCACACCCTAATCCCTGCAGGAACAGAGTTTTTTTTTTGAGCAGGAACGCTGTTCCTGCAGGCACTCAGCGCCCCCAAATGCCCACCTTCCTCCCCCATGTTTCCCCTGTCCGTTTGCTGATGCCGGGAGCCGGAATATGACGTCATATTCCAGTTCCCAGCTACTGCAGACAGCCCGCGCGGCGAGAGGCAGCAGAGTGGACACCACTCCCTCACTGTGTCTGATCTGGAGACAGGCGCCTGTCCCACTGGACCCCAGGGACAGGTCCATGCCAGCTCTCCAGGTAGGGAGGCTGGGTGGACATTTTTTAATTAAAAACATATAATTTGTATGTGTGTGTGTGAATGTATGTGTGTGTGTCTGAGTCTGTAAGTGTGTGTGTGTGTCTGTGAGTGTATGTGTCTGTAAGTGTGTGTGTGTCTGTAAGTATGTGTGTGTGTCTGTAAGTGTGTGTGTGTGTCTGTGAGTGTATGTGTGTGTGTCTGTAAGTGTGTGTGTGTGTGTGTCTGTGGGTTTATGTGTGTGTGTTTGTGAGTGTGTGTGTGTCTGTAAGTGTGTGCCTGTGAGTGTATGTGTGTCTGTAAGTGTGTGTGAGTGTGTGTGTGTGTCTGTGAATGTATGTGTATGTGTCTGTAAGTGTGTGTGTCTGTAAGTGTGTGTACATTCACAGACACACACACACTCACTCAGACACACACACACACACACTCACAGACACACACACACACACACACACACACACATACACTCACAGACACACTGTTTTAAGCCTAAAATCAGCGGGGAGCCCCACCAAAACCAACCAAGGCCTGTTCCACCGCCTCCTGGATTGCAAGATTAAAGTGGTCGAGCCCGACCTCCGTGAGGTGCACGCCATCACTCCTGAACAAATTAGCTGCCGCCCGCGCAAACACCCTATGGCGCACCGGAATCCCGTTTACCCCCAACACGAACTTGGAGACCCTCCGGTTCAATTTAACCCAACAACGGTCCGTCCCCCGTTGATTATGAGTAGTTTCATGAAATTACCTCCGACCAGACCAGTCGAACGTCCGGGAACAAAACCAATACGCGCGCTAAATCCCTCTTAATTGCGTTCCCTAACCCCCAAATAGGCATAGTCCCGAGATCATTACCCCCCAGGTGAATCACAAGAACACTAGGTGGACCCAAAAGCCAGGCAAGCTGAACTAGCTCAGGGAGGAGCCAGACCCACTTCATACCTCTATTCCCAAACCAGCGAACTTCCGCTTCAGAAGGCGTGAAACCAAGCAGCTCACCTCCTGGACGGACAGCCGCCCCCTGCGGTCTGGCCCAGAAGACATACGAGTGTCCGATCACCCAGACCCTAGGGGGACTCCTACCTAAGGAGAAAACATCAATTTAGGAGGCGGGAAGGACGAACATATGAGACAAAACGCCCAGATGCCCACCTACCAATCCTCTGAACCGTTTGCACCGACATTCCCAGCCTAGAAGCTTCAGTGGCAGCGCCAATCCTAAATGAGTGCCCCCCAAACTCCTTACTGTCAACCCCCAATACCTCCAATCCAGAACAAAAAACTCAAATAAATTGAAAATGGGACAGAAAACTCCCATCCTCATGAACCAAAAGGGGGCCTGAGGAAACTGGGCGCAACTCGCAGAATTCTTGAAAGGAAGCAACTGGGCAAATATCTGAACCAGGGACAGCACCCGACCGCACCCATTTACCCCTTCCAAGGACATCCGTTTTTGACCGTCGTATCAGAAACTAAATCCGCCCCGGCTCGCACTGAACGTCGGCAAACAACACCCCCCCGCAGCTACGCTTACTAGGGCTCACCAGTTCCCCAATGTGCATGGCCCCAAAGAATGCCAGTGAATAAGCCAACTTAAACAGCTGTGCCTCAAACACCGAGTAACAGATCTACGGGAGCACCCCACAGAGTCTTGACAAAAGCACCGCAGAAACCGGCCTCCGTGCGTCAACCGAGGCAGCTCGCCGTCGCAGTCCCTTAAGTGCCTGACACAGGGGCGTACCTAGAGCGTTTGGCACCCGGGGTGGATCCCCCCCCCCCCCCCCGAAAAAAAAAAAAAACCTGTAAAAAAATGTTAAAGGTTTTTTTTTTTTTTTGGGAATTTGTAAACTTTGCAAAACCGCTGTCAGCCCCTCCTACAAAACCTTTGTCCTGCCCCGCCCTTCCTACAAAACCTCTGTCCTGCCCCTTCTACAAATCCTGTACTGCCCCGTCTACAAAACCCCCGCAACCCCCTTCCACAAATCCCCTGCTTATCCCCCCTTATAAAGACTCCTGTCCCAATACAAAACCCCAGCCCCCTTCTACAAAATCCCTGCAGCCCCACACACACATTTACAGGCAGACAGTCACACACTCAGTTACAGACAGACAGTCACACACTCAGTTACAGGCAGACAGTCACACACACACACATTTCCTCCGTGTGGCCAGTTTATCAGCTGTTTGCTTGTGTGAGCTGTACTGGCCGCACAGCACCCTAACTACTATGGGACACTGTGCGGCCACAGCTCACACAGCCCCCTCCAGCCAGGGCCGGTGCAAGGATTTTTGCCACCCTAGGCAAAAGTAAAGTTTGCCGCCCCCCCATGTGACATCACAATGCCCCACCCATATGATTTGCCATGTTAACTAACGCCAGTGCTGCAGTGCCGCCGTGTTTACATTAAAAGGCCTGCAGAGACAGGCTATAGACACCAGAACCACTACATTAAGCTGAAGTGGTTCTGGGGACTATAGTGTTTCTTCAATGTGAGGTAAATTAGAGCTTAGTGCCACAAATAATATACTAGATTGCCTACTTACAACCAGATGAGGATGATGATGGGCTCTAGCTGCAGTCTAGCTCCACTGGTCTGGTACAGAACAGGCTCTCTGGAGGCGGTTTGTAACTGTGGTCACAAAAATCAATGTTCTGGGAGAACGGGAAGCAGCTCCATTTTTGGGGGGTCCTTTACACAGCTCAAGGTCTGGGTCCCAGGGTCCACCTTCATGTTCCACCAATGAGTTTGTTCACAAGGGGTGCATTGTGTGTATGTGATGAATGTCAATCTCTCCTCCCGCTCCAATTTCCTTCTCCTCCTCCCAATTTCTCTTTCTCACCCCCCTCCTAATTTCTCTCCCCCCCTTATTTCTTTTCCCCCCTCCTAATATCTCTTCCCCCTAATTTCTAATTTCTCTTCTCCTCCCACTTTCAATTTCTCCCTCCCACTTCAATTTTCTCCTACTTTCAATTTCTCTCCCTCCGAATTTCTAGCTTTCTTTCTCCCTCCTAATTTCTTTTCTCACCCCCTCCTAATTTCTCCTCCCACATTCCTTTCCTCCTAATTTCTCACTTTCCCTCCTACTTCACCTTCACCCCTCCTAATTCTCTCCTCTAATTTCTTCCCCTCCTACTTCAATTTCTCACCCTCCCACATCTCTCCTACTTCTCTCTCACCCTCCTTTTTCTTTTTCTCACCCCCTCCCTTTTCTTTTCCTTCTCCTCTCCTTTCTTTCCTCCTTTCTCCCTCCTCACCCTCCCCTTCCTTTTTCTTCCTCCTCACCCTCTTTTCTCCTCCTCACTTCTCCTCCTTTTCTCCTCACTTCTCCTTTCTTCCTCTCCCTCCTCTCTGTAGCGCGGCCGGTGCTCTCGAGAAATTGAAGGGTAGAGAGTAGTTGTGCCTCTTTTCCTCGTTAGGATCAATAGGAAGCGCACACTCTGTGTTCACTTCCTGTTAGTCTGGCCGGGTACAGGAGACAGCTGCTCTCTGTACCCGTCGCACTATCAATGCTGCAGGGCTCGGCCACGCTACAGCAAAGGAAGCTGACAGGAGGGATCGCTGAGCGCTGAGCGCTCCCTCCTGTCAGCCCCCTTTCTCAGGCTGTGCCCGGGCGGTGCGGTCCGCCCTCATGGACGCACCGCCCGGGCAAAGCTGCAGCCGCCTGAGGCTCTCTACAGGGCGGCTGCAGCATTGGGGGGGCGGCGGAGCTGGTCATGGCACCCCCCACCCTGGTGGCACCCGGGGCGGACCGCCCCCCCGCCCCCCCGTTAGTACGCCACTGGCCTGACACACAACAAAAGCTTTAGTCGAAATTTCCCAGTATCCCGGTGGGCCAGTCCGTCCCTTCTACCTGCTTGCCCACCCTGCTCCCACTGATCAAGAAAACCCCTAAGCCCTGACAGAAACCCCCCTAAGTGAGGGACCCCCAGACTGAAAAGAAGAAAAATTTGTAAACTCACCAGCCTATGCCCGAGGAACATGAAGATGATCCAGGCAGGACAGAGTTAACTTCATTTTCAGCACTGCTCAGCCTAGCAGCAGTACCAGGCGCCATATGCTGGACGGTCCCAGGAACTGCAGCCACAGCAGCCATATCCTGTGAGAAGAGCAGCGGAGAGGAGGTAAGCTCACACCCCGCAGAGGAGGACAGCCGAGGGGAGTACTCATGGGGTGCAGGGGGGACATAGGGACCAGGAATAGGGACAGAAGGGACAAGGGGGGGGGGGAGGAAGGGAGACAGAGAGAGAGCCAGGAGGGGGAGCAGATAGAGGAAGGGGGCCCAGCCCAACAGGAACAGGGGAGGAGGAGGCAAGCATAGAGGGTAAGGGGGCTCCAGAGGGAGAGGAGACAAGGTATGGCATCACAGGGGGGGGAGGAGGGAGGAGGGAATTGCTGACAGAACCCAGGTAGGAGAGGGGACCCCCCGGTCGACCCTCATCCCCAGAGGAGCCATCAGAGCCCGGGGAGGACCCCCCTCCACCTCCCAACGGCAGCACAGCCATGGCCCTGAGGGGCCCACTCACCACTACTGGCCCGGCTCTAGATCCGCCGGTGCGCCGACCACGTGGGGGCTGGGAAGGCCTCCCAGACCACCCAGGATGCTCAGCAGGTCTTCTGGCACCCCTGGCCGGCTGTCCACGGCCGGGGGGTGCGCGGGGGGCGGCAGATGAAGCAAGCCGCGTGTCAGATGGAGCAGATAGAGCTGACACGTGGGCCTGGTGGTGCCTCGGGCCTGGACTCCGGCTCCTATACTGGGCCCGAGGTGAGGGATCAGGGCTCAGACGAGCAGGCGGGCGGGCGCGCCGGCCCATGCTCCTGTGGCCTACAGGCAGGCCCGGACTGGCCATCGGGCATACCGGGCAAATGCCCGGTGGGCCGCGATGGCCATGGGGCCGAGGCCGGCAGAGAGATCACAGGATCTCCCCTGCCAGCCCGTGCAGGGCCAGCGCTACCCGAGCGCCAGCCCTGCTGTGTGCCTCCATGGGCCGGTGGGGAGATCAAAGATCTCCCTCACCGGCCCAGAGGCTGTTACATGCGGCCGCAGGCTGGGGAGGGAGGCAGGAGAGAGGACCGGCGGAGCTCTAACCAGCAGCTCCGCTCGGTCCTCTCGCGGGATTCTGAGCGTTGCCGCGGTTACCACGGCAACGCTCAGATCTCGCGAGAGTGAACTCTAACCCGCAGGCGGCGTGTGTTTGTGCTTTAGGGTGCACACCCTAATGCAATAGCCTGTGCATGCCTATGACAGCCAGCCAACCAATCACAGGGAAGGGGGGCATGCATAACTTTAATCATTGTATAGAGGGAGACACAGATTTGTTTGTTTTGCTGTTTTTCTATACATATGCAAAGCCTGTTTATTTTTTTCTAAAGATTGTACAATTATTACACCTTCCCCTGCAAGAAGAAAA